TTTAACTCTATCTGAAGAGTAACAATCTCTTTCTTTCTTTTTTTTTTGTCGGTTGTGGGCCTTGAACTCTGGGCCTGAGCGCTGTCCCTCAGCTCTTCAGCTCAAGGCGAGGGCTCTACCACTTGAGCTACAGCGCCACTTCAGGTTTTCTGGTGGTTTATTGAGATAAGAGTTTCAGGGACTTTTTTGCCCTGGCTGGCTTTGACCCGAGATCCTCAGATCTCAGCCTCCTGAGTAGCTCGGATTACAGGAGTGAGCCACTGGCGCCCGGCAGCAATCTCTTTCTTGAGCCTGATATTTTCCAATTCACTTTTCTAGGCCTCTTCTCTGACATGGCACTTCTGTGTCTGCTCCACTAACTGCTCTTTCAGTTCTTTCTCTGTTGCTTTGCATTTCTGCTCATACTCTTCAAAGCTTATAATCGGCATGTACTTCAGCCTAATACGTTCTTGTATCATGTCCAGCTCCTTTTTCTACGCCTTGAATTCCATGTGCAGCATCAGGATCTCCTCCTGGCCTCGCTTTTAGTCAGCAAAGACAGCAGCATTGGTATCCTGTACCTCCTTCAGCTGTGGCCCCCAGTTTTGCCTCATGCTCACCATGGCTGATGTACTTGGATTTCATTTGATTCTGAATGTTTTCCAGGCTCATTTTGAGGATTTGTTCTCTCTCTCTTTTTTTTTTTTTTTTGGTCGTAAGGCTTGAACTCTGGGCCTGAGCACTGTCCCTCAGCTCTTCAGCTCAAGGCCAGCGCTCTACCACTTGAGCCACAGCGCCACTACCGGTTTTCTGGTGATTTATTGGAGATAAGAGTTTCACGGTCTCTCCTGCCCGGGCTGGCTTTGAACCACGATCCTCAGATCTCAGCCTCCTGAGTAGCTAGGATTACAGGCGTGAGCCACCAGCGCCCGGCTCCCCTAAAGTTTTCCTTGATTATATTATGAAGTTTTCCTGCATTATATTTCATTATGTGGATATATCACATTTTGTTTATATTCATCTTTCAGTGGACATTTGGATTATTTACATTTTTGGCTATCAATATAGCCAAATATATACAGTATAGCCAATATATACAGTGATGCTGTAAACATAGATGTATAAATACCTACTGGTTTTTATCCCTACTTTCAATTTTGGGTGTTATAGACCCAAAAGAATGACTGCTGGATTATTTTCTAGGAGTCTAATGGCATTTTTTTACAGATGTCAAGTTTCTCATCATTTGGTTTTTTTTGTTTTTTTGGGTTTTTTTGCTGGTCATGGGGCCTGAACTCTAGGCCTGGGCGCTGTCCCTCAGCTCTTCAGCTCAAAGCTAGTGCTCTACCACTGGAGCCACAGCGCCACTTCCGGCTTTTTCTGCTTATGTGGTGCTGAGGAATCGAACCCAGGGCCTCATGCATGAGAGGCAAGCACTCTACCACTGAGCCACCTTCCCAGCCCTCATCATTTGTTGAACAGGCTGGTCTTTCTCCCATTAGATAGTCTTGGCACCCTTGTTGAAAAGCAGTTGACCAGCCAAGTGCTTTGGCTCACACCCATAGTCCTAGAATTTAGGAGACTAAGGCAGAAGGATCACATGTTTGAGGTCAGTCCCAGTATACATAGCAACACCCTCTTTGTCATACATAGGTATATACACACATCTACACATACATATATAACTATTTTATTTTTGACTACTATAAACACAATTATTTTCTTAATTTCATTTCAGATTTTGCATTGCTGGAGTATAGAACTTATCCTATGCACATATTAATTTGACTTCCTTGTTTCTTTTATAAACTTTGAACAGACTTTTCTGTACTATAATAATAGTGTTGAGTAAGGCTTATCTCAGTCACACATAAAAAAAGAGCATAATAGCTTTGTTAGATTCTATGTTCTCTTTTTTAGGAAGTGATAGAAACTATACATTTGCCGGGTGCTGGTGGCTCACGCCTGTAATCCTAGCTACTCAGGAGGCTGAGATTTGAGGATCATGGTTCAAAGCCAGCCCGGGCAGGAGAGTCGGTGAGACTCCTATCTCCAATAAACCACTAGAAAACCGGAAGTGGCGCTGTAGCTCAAGTGGTAGAGCGCTCTCCTTGAGCTGAAGAGCTGAGGGACAGCACCCAGGCCCAGAGTTCAAGCCCCACGGCCGACAAAAAAAAAAAAAAAAAGAAACTATACATTTATTTTCCCATCATGTATAACATCCTTTGGTCAAGCATTTGCCTAACTTTATCCTAAAAGTATAACAGAGAACCAAGGCTTTGGGGACAGACTATTATCTATTTGTTACTTATGAAGGTGATATAACTCTTGGTTTAGATAAAGTAGATGGGGAAGAATGGGCGTATTAACATTTTTTGAGGCATATTGAGCAGTAGGCGCTGATTCTTCATTCCCTGAGAGATCCCAAAGAAGAAACTGAGTCTTGGAAAGGAAAAAAACCACTTGCTCAAAGGTCCATTAACATAGCCAGTGTTGCTATTTGTTTCTTTGTATATTTCCCTTTCTCAAGCTAACAATTCTTCCTTTCAGTTTTAATCGCCTGGACCTTCCACCCTATAAGAGCTATGAGCAACTGAAGGAGAAGCTGTTGTTTGCCATTGAAGAAACAGAAGGATTTGGACAAGAGTAACTTCTGAGATCTTGTACTGCCCAAGGACAAGAACTTATTTTGCAGTGTTTGTCCTTTTCCTTCTCTGCCTATTGCACATCTAGTTGTAAAATTGGACTATGACTGTTGAGAGAGTTAATCTGAGTGTAAGTAAGTTAATGTTATCATTGAAATTGATCTCTTGGTGATTCTGGATTTCTGTTCAGCATTTCCAGAAATCAGATCTATGAACACTTGTCAGAAACTTACTTAACATGAGATTTAACACACAATGAAATCTGCCTTGTCTTATTCCACTAGATTGTTTCCTTAACAATTTTCTATGTGTGTCAAAGTCTCACTTGGGAGGTTTATTTCCTTTTAGAGATTCTGCAAATATGGAGGCAAATCTCTTGGCAACTGCAATATACAAGATCTTCCTATTAAGCCTCTTGCTAAGGGGTATTTAATAAAAGTGCAAGCTTAGCCCAGCTTCTGGGCATGTGAGAAAATTGCTAGCTTGTGCTCTCCCTCTTATTTCAGCCTGGCCTGACTGTTGTTTTTCATTTCTGGAGCATGAATCCAACCATCACTTTGAAGTTATTCCTAGAAGTGATGCAGGACTCTTGCATCTTTCTACCAAGTAGTTTTGTGAATATGAATTCAGGGAAAAATTGGTCCCAGTGGCAAATGACTTCATACCTCTTCATTTGGATGTTTATTTTGATTGCCTTGCAAATACTAAACTATACAAACAATATCAACATTGTAGTTCCTTTACTGTTGGTTTTAAAAGTTACCCTAGAATTGAAATTAATGTAGCTAAATTTATCTAAGGCCATTTTTAATTATTTTTGTATGACCCTATACATAAATTGAAGCTTTATCATTTTATCATAATCCAAAAACTTCAGTTGTATTTAATTACTGCTAAGGAGTCAAAATTATAACTAGAGTATTTTCTAGTCTAAATAGAGGTCAGTGAAACAGCTGATGAAATTACCTTTTCATTTGTGAGAGCTATTCTTCATATGAATTAAAAGTCTCCAAGTTTATCATTTCCCTCACAGGTTGGAGTAGCCATTTCCTTTTTTCTTTTTTAAGATCGTCATGAATTGAGTTAGTATCCCTCACCTGTAATATTTTTGGGTTTTTTTGTTTGTTTTGGTTTTGGTTCTGGTCCTGGGGATTGAACTCAGGGCCTGGGCACTGTCCTTGAGCTTTTGTACTCAAGGTTAGCACAGATCCACTTCCAGCTTTTTGTTGGTTAATTGGTGATGAGTCTCTCTGGTTTTGTCTGCCGGAGCAAGCGTTGAACCATGATCCTCAGATCTCAACCTCCTGAGTAGTTAGGATTATTATAGTGCCCAGCTACAATATTCTAAATTTTTGGCAAGTTTTTTCCTCCATGACTGCTCCATTACTTTAGAATGTTCTGTTAATTAATGCACTTTGACTATCTCTCTAGTTAATTTAACTTGGCCTAAGCTAGCTTAGACTGTCAGGGTGGCTGCTGTCATAGATCAGGCTTTATAGGTAATGAGAGGAAACTTAAGCCAAACTGAGTCCTTAGCACAGCTGAATCCTGAAGACAGTCTGATAACTCACATTACAGGAACTTTGGAATGTTTCAGTAGCATAGCATTAACAAGTAGCATGAAGCCAAGAATACTCCATATGAAAACAAAATGTTTTTATGTCCCTAGCTGCTCATCCTATTTAAATCCTGGAACAACAAAACTTTTTTTAACTTGTGTATCTGTGCTCTTTTGACACTGCCATCTTAAGCAGAGACTTATGTGAAAGAGTTTTCTCATCCAGAAATTTTCAGTGTAAAGGGAGAGATTACACTGTCTCCATCCTATCTGGTTTTTATCCCATATGCCCTAGGAAATACTGTGTGATTTCTAAAAGCCCTTAGTTGTTTCCAAAGTAGAGACTCTGCCTTTTTGGTGGTAGGGTAAAAAATTAAAAAACAAATGTTACTGCTTTGTCTTACAGAGCGAATGTCTGCCAATCCCCCATTCATAAGTCTGAACTTTGGTAATATATGTCTGTGAAGATTAAGCCTTCCATAAAGACTTCCGATTGAGGTGAATTCTCATACCAAATATAGTTACCGTATTTACCAGAGGTTTATGAGATTAAATTAAGAGATGATGTAAGAAAATAGCCTCTTTTGATTCTCTATAATGCTTCATGATTCATTTAGGGACCTAGACATATTGTATGAAAATGTATAAATATCACTCAAAAGGCTTTCTGCCCTATATTTTTAAAATACAGAATAGTTATATTTGATGTAGCCCTAGCCCTAGTTCTATAGGGCTTGGCTACTTAATATTTTTATGGAGGAAACATTTAGTTCTGGGAAAGGTAAATGCGTGTATATATTTTTGCAGCCTGGAGTTTCCCTGCTCCATTTCTTCCTTTAATTTAAGTGGCCACATGTATATGTCTTCCCTGCTGTGTTAGGAAAATGGGGGCTGGATATCCCAAGAATCAGAGGTTATATAAAAGTACTGCAAATAGACAGCAAACCTAAATATCTGCCAAATGCTACTTTAAATTTTGGTCCAAAATGAACACTTGGAAATAGATTTATTGTAAGTATTTAATTAGAATTTTTCTCTTAAATCTGAAATATATTGCTTTTTAGGTCATTTTTCTTTGTAAGCATTGTAAATGCTAATAAATCTTGTTAATTTTTTTAACTGCATGTTATGTTGAAATAAAAACAAAGTAAAATGAGCAATTGCCTTATTCTTCTGCTCTTATGGTGGGTTGGGAAAGGCAGCATTCCACAGCCTGGGTGAAGAGGGAAGGAACTCAATTGTTTCATCTCAAATGGAATGGCTTAAATCTGATTCAAAAACTCCTAACAACGAAATCCTACTGTGTCTTTAGTGATATTCTGTCAGAGTGCAGAAGAATCCAATTTTGTAAGACTTACAATAACTCTATTTAAAATTCATGCACTGATTTTTCATCAAGGGATGACATGCCAGTATCAGTTCATCAGAAATTTTAGTGAAACGTGGCTCAGTTACCCATAAAAGACTCATCCTAAATAAACTATTTCAATCAAGGCTCTCTGCCACTTTTTTATCTGGTTAATAATCTGGAATGTTATCAAAGGTGACTCACAAAATTAGACTATCACTCCTTGTTTTGGATGTACCCTCACCCCTCCAAATTCCTTTAGAGTTTCTGCTTGTACTTCATATTGTTGGTATCTCCAGCCCCCTGTTTTTTTAATGAGTTATGTATAAAATTGTATATATGCTTTCATTAACTAAAAACACAATGGCAGCACTGAATTGTATATTACTGTATTGGAGTACCTTTGTTTTCTTGGACTGTAATTTCAAATACTCAGGTAACTCTACAAATATTACAGGGAGTAAACTGCTTTTTATAAAGTTTCTTCGGGGTTACCTCACTTTCATTTCCCTAAAAGATGTAAGACTGTGTTTATAATTAAACTTTTTTGCTCCTTCATTTGCACACTCTTCTGTTAGTCTTGGGTAAAAAAGGTGGTCCTCCACTTGCAGAAAAGCCTTCTATATGACTGCTTTTACAAGTTATAACTTGTCTGTATTGTGGTATATGTGGAAAACAAAAAATCTGCTACTCAGGTGACATTAGATTTGTTCCTGTGTTGAAGATGAAGACCGACCTCTGCAGGAGCCACTGGTTGACAGGAGGGCCTCTATCTCACTTGCTAGTCTGAGAAAACAAAACTGGTCTAAGCCAAGACTGTAGCCATGAGGGTTGAATAGAGCTAAGTTATCAAGACTAACTACACAAGTGGGCCTGTTTGACACCTTCCTTCCTTTTATTTTTGGTGCCAATTCTGGGGATTGAACTCGAGTGCCTAGGTGCTGTCCCAGAGCTTTTGTGCTCAAGGCCAGCGCTCTACCACTTGAGCCACAGCTCTACTTCCAGCCTTGTTTGTTTGGTGGTTAATTGGAAACATGAGTCTTACAGACTTTCCTGCCCAGGCTGGCTTCAAACCATAATCCTGAGCTCTCAGCCATCTCAGTAGCTAGGATTACAGGTGTGAGCCACCAGCGTCTAGCTGGCCATTCTTCCTTTCTTCTTTTTGGGTTTTTTTTTTTTTCCTTTCTCTTTTCATGTCATGGGGCTGGAAATTCTGGGCCTGGGCACTGTTCCTGAGCTCTTCAGCCCAAGGCGAGCACTCTCCCACTTGAGCCAAAGTGCCACTTCTGGTTTTCTGATGGTTAATTGGAGATAAAGTTCTCACTTTCCTGCCTAGGCTGGCTTTGAACCACAATCCTCAGATCTCAGCCTCCTCAGTATAGCTAGGATTACAGGAGTGAGCCACTGGCTCCTGGCTTTTTCATTTTATTTTTTCCCTTCTGGGATTCTGATCTTTTTCAATCCTCTCCTCTCAATCTAGTTATCCATATATGAGATGGAGGAAATACTCATTCCATACCTATTTTCCAGGATGCTTGGGGTCCAGTCACTGCTGCACTTCTACACCTACTTGAAGATTTGGGGATGCATTCCTACTGCTTCCACCATTTGATAATCATTGCTTTTTTATTTTATTAGTCCTTTTTAAAAATGTATGTAGTAATTTTAGGTTTACAGAGCTGTTGCAAAGATAGTATTGCTTGTGTACACTCTTACCCAGCTTTCCTCAACACCAACATCCCACATCACTAATATAGTTACCAGAACAAATTAACACTACTAGTAAAACTACCCTTATTCAGATTTCCCGAGTTTTTCCACCAATGTCTTTCCCCTTAGTCTTCTCTAACTTGTGACAATTCCTCATTCATTCTTTGTGTTTTATAAAGAATATTTGGCTGATACCTTGTGGAATGTCCCTTGCTTAAGGTTGAATATGTCCCACTACCAGTAATAACTTGATCTGCTTTATTTCTTCACCATAAGTGATTATCTAATCACCTTAACACAGGCTCCCCTGGAAAGAGGCTATTTGGAATGAAAATCTGGAGGTTGATCATCAGGTTTGAATTCAGTAAGCTCCAGAGCCAGGAAGAAATGGCATTTGTGAAATGGAGATGTTGCTACTCAACTACAAGATAGGCTAAATTAGGGACATTAAAGTGTGGAAGACAATAGCTAAGAAAATTATCAGTAGGTAACTTGAAGTCTCATTTCCCATTAGGCTGGTGTACTAGTGATTTTCTTGGAATTCTGGATAAGCAGTGGGCGGACATGTTGAAAAGAAAAAGGTGACAATCTTACCCAGGACTGAAAGGAAACATTGTTAAAGGCAAATAACTGCCTCTTGATAATGGGCTTCTCTATTCCAAATAAA